CCCAGCCCTAAGCTCCTGAGGCCTTAAGGCTCTAGCAGACCCGGGCGTCTCTCCCCATCCCCCAGTTGGGTTCGAGTTCTGGAAACAACTGTGCGCCGAGCATGGTATCAGCCCCGAGGGCATCGTGGAGGAGTTCGCCACCGAGGGCACTGACCGCAAGGACGTCTTTTTCTACCAGGTGCCCCCAGTGACTTGGCCAGGGCCGGCAGTGGCCCGGCGCCCCAAAGGATGGGCAGCGGCCTGGTGCTGGGAACCTCTCTGGACAGAAGGGCCGGGGCAGCTGGCTTGAGGGGGGAGGGCAGGCAGGAGTCAGAGCTGGGAGGACAGAGGACTGGGCAGGCCCCAGCTGATGGGGTGCCCTCTGGACTCCCCTGACAGGCAGACGATGAGCACTACATCCCCAGGGCGGTGCTGCTGGACCTGGAGCCGCGGGTGATCCACTCCATCCTCAACTCCCCCTATGCCAAGCTCTACAACCCAGAGAACATCTACCTGTCTGAGCATGGAGGAGGAGCTGGCAACAACTGGGCCAGCGGATTCTCCCAGGTATCCAGGTGGCCATCCCAGAGCCTTGATGTTCCCTTCCTGGGGCAGGGAAGGCACAAGCAGCCTGGGGATTTGACCAGACCTGACTGACAATTTAAAAAAAAAAAAAAAAAGAGAGACAAAGGGATATTCTGACAAGTGGGACCGCTATGGAGAGGTTTATGCAAACTTTGTGCAAATCATTTTGCACAGTAGCGTTTCTGGGTTGAGGACCACAGCTGAAGCGCTGCATGGGGGTGGCAGCAATGTCCCAGGTTAGGTTTCTTTGTGCTATAAAGAAATGTTTTCCAGAAAATCTTGACTCTCTCTCCCCATGTCTCTAAAAGGGTGAGAAAATCCATGAAGACATTTTTGACATCATAGATCGAGAAGCAGATGGAAGTGACAGCCTAGAGGTGAGGTTTTGCTCCAGCGGGGGAGGGGAAGGGGAAGGGGAAGCCTGCTAAAGAAAGGTTGGGAGGTGGCCTGAACAGGTGGTGTGTGGGGGCAATTAAATTCAAAGCCCATTTATTGAGCATCTGTTTAAGACAGTGATGTAAATAAGGGACAGTCCTTGTCCTCAAGGAGGTCCTGGTCTGATGGCATCAGCTCTTTAGGCATCAGTTTTCCTTCCCAAGGAGCCTTGGCCTGGAAGAGAGGAAGCCTTGAGCCATGAGTGTTGACAGTAGGGAATGAGAGGGGCTGGAAGCCTCTTCCCCAGATCCCCGAAAACTCCCTCTCTATCCTCCCCATGCAGGGCTTTGTGCTGTGTCACTCCATTGCTGGGGGGACGGGTTCTGGCCTGGGGTCATACCTCCTAGAGCGACTGAATGACAGGTAAGCCTCTGCTGGGGAGAGTCGCTAGCCCTGGCTCCCTGGGTAATGTCTATCCTTTTTGTACTTTTTCCTTTGGACTAGAAGAGCTGCCACTACTCCCTTGAGTCATAGATAGGAAGGAACCCCAGCCACCCAGGAAACATCTGGGAAGCAATAACTCCTGGGAGGAGGTTTGCCTAGGGTGAGGAAGGGGGTCTAGAGGATTTGAAACTTTAGGATCCTGAGTCCTGAAGACTCGTTTCTGCCTTTACCACTTTTATATAAGAGCTTGGTGGTACCTGGAAAGAAATGGTCCCTGTTGTCCCTAGAGAAGGCAGAGATGGGGAGTGATGGGGGTCCTTCCAATCCACTGTGTCCCCTCTCCCCTTTCCCTTCTCCTTACCCCCAGGTACCCCAAGAAGCTGGTGCAGACCTATTCAGTGTTTCCCAACCAGGACGAGATGAGCGATGTGGTGGTCCAGCCCTACAACTCACTGCTCACGCTCAAGAGGCTGACCCAGAACGCAGACTGTGTGGTTAGCATGGAAGGAGGGAGTGGGGGCTTTGGTCTGCCTCCCCAAACCAGTGAGACACATACACCCTGCCCTGCCCAGCCCTTCCAGAGGTCAAAGGGCCAACAAGCCATACCTGGTGGCCCAAGTTATTTACAGTCCCAAAAAAGTAAATGTCCACTCATGTGTCCCAACTTAATGCCTACTCACGCTTAAAGGGTGACTTTCTTAGCCAGACCTTCTCTGATCACCCAGTCAAGGTCAAATTCCTTTGTGCATATTTCAGCCTGTAACTATACTTTTCTCTTGTTTTATATTAAATGTTGCTCTCTGTGCACTAGGCCTAGGTGAGGGGGAAGACCATGCCTGCTGTACTCTCCATGGATCTCCAGAGCCAGGCACAGTGCATGGCACATGGGGACACTCAAATATTTGTTCACTGTGCCGGATGGTGGAAATGTGTCTCCTGAAGCTCAGCGATAATACTTGCCATTTAAATTAACTAACCTGCTTCCAGTTTGTTAATTTAGCAGGAGGCTAAGGCTAATATCTTATTTCTCTGCCCCCTTTCTCTTCAAAAAGGTGCCGTGACCCTCTTCTGTCCCCCCAGGTGGTGCTGGACAACACAGCCCTGAACAGGATCGCCACAGACCGCCTGCACATCCAGAACCCGTCCTTCTCCCAGATCAACCAGCTGGTGAGCCCCGCTCCTGCACTCTTAGGGACTCAAGGCCCTCCTTGCCCAAGTGCCATCTGGAGAAGGGTGGTCCCCCAGGCAAAGCCCATGACAGGGCACTGTTTCCCCAGGTGTCCACCATCATGTCGGCCAGCACCACCACCCTGCGCTACCCTGGCTACATGAACAACGACCTCATCGGCCTAATTGCCTCACTCATTCCCACCCCTCGCCTGCACTTCCTCATGACTGGCTACACGCCCCTCACCACAGACCAGTCGGTAAGAGCGGCCCCCAGCAGCCCTGCCATGGCTGCCCCAGGAGCTGCCCTGGCAGCCTCCCAAGGCTCCGCACTGGGGGCACATGTGTACGACTTTCTCCCTGGCCTCCTGGCCTCTTCCCTGTGCCCCTGACTCCCTGTGGGGCCTGGGATGTGTGGGGTCTCCTTATGCTCCTAGCAAGGGCCTGAGTTTGCTGGGCTGATGCTGCACCTCCCCCTGCAGTGACCCTCAGGGCTAATGGCTCTTGCCATGGTCCGCGGCAGGCTGATGAGGGCTATGACCCCCAGACCTATGGCAGAAGCCCAAAGGGACCATCCTCCGTGGTGTGAGGGAGGACATGTGTGCCTTCTCCACTCTGCACTGGGTCCTGAGTGCCTGCCTGGCTCCTGTGGCCCATGGTCCCCTCAGGTGGCCAGCGTGAGGAAGACCACGGTCCTGGATGTCATGAGGCGGCTGCTACAGCCCAAGAACGTGATGGTGTCCACAGGCCGGGACCGCCAGACCAACCACTGCTATATTGCCATCCTCAACATCATCCAGGGCGAGGTGGACCCCACCCAGGTAGGTGAGGCCCCTTCGTTCCACCCTACACCCCGCAGGGGTAGAGGAGAGGCTACCACCACCACTCGTGTACCCACCCCAGGTCCACAAGAGCCTGCAGAGGATCCGGGAAAGGAAGTTGGCCAACTTCATCCCCTGGGGCCCAGCCAGCATCCAGGTGGCCCTGTCCAGGAAGTCTCCCTACCTGCCCTCGGCCCATCGGGTCAGCGGGCTCATGATGGCCAACCACACCAGCATCTCCTCGGTGAGGCTAGTCTCCTGGTTTCTGTTGCACTGGCCACCTTCAGCATTCTCCCCATTCTGGTCTCCCTATTCCCACCAACCTCTTACCCTACACTGGCTCCCATCCTGGAGATTTCCATTTCTTTCAGCTATTTGAAAGTTCCTGCCAACAATACGACAAGCTGCGGAAACGGGAGGCCTTCCTGGAGCAGTTCCGCAAGGAGGACATCTTCAAGGAGAACTTTGACGAGCTGGACAGGTCCAGGGAGGTTGTGCAGGAGCTCATTGACGAGTACCACGCGGCCACGCGGCCGGACTACATCTCCTGGGGCACTCAGGAGCAGTGACTGCCTCCCCGCCACTCTGCTGGACAATAAACGCAGCCCCCTCATGCCTGGTTCCTGTGACCCAAACTGCCCTCACCAACCTCCTTTCTAGGGTCATTGCCCATCCAGGAACTGGTCCTACTTCCTCCTTTCCATGCTCCTCGATATGCTTGTTTAATTCTAATAAAGTAATAAAGCCTGGTTGTGAATATAGTCAGCGCTTGGTCCATGAATATGGGGGAATCAAGGAATTTTCATCCCCCTCTCCCCAGCTCTAGTTCCCTACCCTAAGTTTCTTACCACATAATCCAGGTCTTGGTGTGTTCACTGTTTCCCCTGTACCCCTTGCTGAGAACCAGGCTGTTTCACCAGCGCCTGCCCTGCTCTCAAGTCTTCAGAGAATTACTGAGGTCTGCTGTCTCCTCAGTACCCAAGCTCCTGCCCAAGTGGTTGAGTTTTGCCCCAGCCTCCTGACTCAGGGCAGAGGCTGCGAGAGAGACTGCAGGAGGGCCTGCGGCGTCCTGAGCAGGTCAGAAGCCAGGACGCCTGCCTCCTAGCACCCAAGGCCATCAGGACTCAACCTAATTCCACTCAATCTGATAAGCAGGAAGAGAATGCAAAAGTAGGGCTGAGCCCACCCTGCTAAGTTCTTTATCTGTGCAGAGTTCTTGGGTCTGACTCCTGCCCCTAGCATTTCTCCATTCTAGGACCAGGCACACTAAACATGTACCCAACCAAGGCCCAGAGGTGAATACCAGGGTAGGACCTGGGCAGTGCCAGTCTGGATGACTCACTGCCCTCTGGCTTCAGGGACGCCAGGTGGCCACCCCATGCCACACAATGGAGAAGGGCGGGTAATTGCCAGCTTCAAAATGACCCTCTTGCCTGCCCCACCCACCACCCTATGGCAGCATACAGGCCAGGAGGAGGTTAAATCCAGAAGGTCAAGGAGGGTGGAGCACTGTGGTGTCTGGACTCCCCACTGTGCTGGTAAAAGCTCTGAGTGTGGGCGTCCTGAGAGGTGGAGCTCCGAGCCATGGGGCTCCAACTTGTCCCACTGACAACACTCCCACAGGAAGGGTTTGTGTAAATAAGGATTTTTTCTCTTCTTCTACAAATAAATTAAGAAACAAACTAGAAAACTGTCTGCATCCATTGCAGCTCTTGGGTGGGGGGTGTGCCCTGTCCCTGCAGGGCCAAAAGAGTCCATAGTCCCTCAAATCTCAGAGCAGTTTGGGTCCAGGCTGGAGTCAGGAGGGAGGTCGTGACCTCTTGGCAGGCTCAGTCCTGCAGCTGCTCCAAACAGCCAGACTGTCCCTGGGGCTCGTCCAGGCTGGAGTGCTGGCTGGGAGGGGAGGTGTCTGGCAGGTCTTGGCATGGAAGAGAAGCGCTGCTGCGAGGCCTCTCGGGGGAGAGGTTGGCCAAGTAGGCATTCACCAGCTGCATGATCTCTTCCACCTAAGACAGGGCAGGGGTCAGAGTGCAACAGGGGCCACCAGGCTCTCTTCTTTGTCTAATCCTCCACCCAGCTGAGTCCTCGGGTTCCAGCTTCTTTACCAAGGTCTTGCATGACCTGCCCCTGCAACCTTTTCATCCTCAACACCACTCTCTGCCCCAGGTGCTATGTGCCAGTTACATGCACTTCTTTCTGCTTCTCCACTGAGCCAAGTTTATTCTTCTTTCAGGACCTGGAGTTTGTAATTCCCTGTGCCTAGAATACTATTCCTGCATGTCTCCCAATGGCTAGCTTGTGTCACCTTCCTGACCATCTTCCCTGATGATACGGCCCCTCTCATCACTTCCCATCACTGCCCTTTCTGTTCTTTGCAGCATTTATCACTGTCTTCACTAGTCTAACTCCTTGGTGGTGTCTGACAGCCCAGCTCTAATGTGAGCTTCCTGAGCTTATCTTTGATCACTGCTGGTTCCCCAGTATCTGTCCACTCTGTGTGTTTAATAAATGTTTCTTGACAACCTTTCCTCCTCCCACACCCCTTCCCACTCACCTGAGGACTCTGCAGAAGGAGCTGGCTCTCTCCCACCCTCAATTCCAGGGTGTGGGGGCCCATTAACTGGCAGGCGGCCACGTGGCCATAGTTGACACTGTGGATGGGCTCTGTCTCGCCGGGTCTGGAAAGGGACATGGCCTTGGCTCCCAGGCCCAGGCATAGCTTCTGTGGAGCGCCCCCACCATGCTCCTGGGAGAGACAGGCAGAGTCAGGGTGGAAGGAGGGGACACTGCAGCATTATTTTTGGTGGGGGGGAGATGGCTGTGATCACGGAGTTTCCTGTCCCCCCTGTGATGCACAGTGCATGTGTGGAGGGGGAAGGCTCCCCAGAGGGGCCGGCCCAAGGGCCAGTGACTCCTGTGGTTTAAGATGCTCAGCTGTGCTGGGTGTTGGGAGTGAAGTGGCCCACGACAGAGGCCTGTGGCTCTGGGGCAAAGGTCTGGGGCTTGGGCCACCAGAGTCTCCCTCTCCCTTCTCCCCCTCACCGTGCTCAGCTCCAGAACGTCATACCGAGCAGCGCCGAACCCTGGACACTGCGCCGCCAGTGCCAGATAGGCAGCCATGGCCTCAGCTCGGCCCATGCCGCGTAGCCTTTTCCAGCCGCCCAGCACAGCAGCAGCGGTGCCGGCGCCACCTCCTGCCTCGCGGGCCACGCTTCCAGCCGTGCGTCCCGGCCCGCCGCGCCGGGCGCGTTCCGCCCGCCTCTTGGCCAGGCCCGGACTCCAGATTGCCCCGGCCAGCAGGGCGGCGGAGGGGGGAGGCCTGGAATTCAGGCGGGGCAGGGCTTCGCGCGGCGGGGCAGGGGGCGGCAGCAGGCGGTCCAAACGCGGCGGGGGCGCCAGCGGGGAGAAGTCCCGGTGCAGGCTCTGCAGGCGCAGCGCCGCCAGGGTGCGCAGCGTGTCGTCGGGTGGGGGCGGCCGGCCGCGCAGCAGCAGAGCGTGAGCCTGGGGGAGAGGTACCGGCGTCAGCGCGGGAGCGGCGGCCGCACCGTCGCGAAAGCACCTCGGGGTGTGGAGTCTGAGATCTGAGTTCGAGTAAAGCCTCCCCCGGGGTGGCCACACAATTAAATGAGATGGAGAAACGGAGGGGTTCAGGCTCTGGGCCCTTTGGGGGGCCATGAATGCCGGCGAGCCACACCTGCTCAAACAGGAAAGGCAGTTCGTGACCGTCTGGGGACAGCCCTTCAGGGTGCAGAGGACCATGGAGACGCAGACACAGTCTCCAGCCAGCGTCGGGCGAGTCTTCCAGCCCGACGTCTTCCGCGGCCAAGCTGCAAAAGAGGACAGAGCGCGCGGAGACTCAGAGGCCCGCCCCCCGGGAAACCGCTAGGAAAGGGGTGGGGCCTGGGAGGGCGAGGCCAGGGCGGGGTGGACCTCCCCGACGGGGCTGGAATCCAGGCCGCGCACCGCCAGCGGGCAGGGGTCCCTCCGCGCGCGGGGAAACGCCACAGTGCAGGGCACGTGGCAAGCGCTCCACAAACGTTTGCTAGGTGACCGACAGAAGCTGAGGGGCTCACGGAGAGCAGGGCTGGGGCTGGACATTTACTTCTCAAACCTGGTGAGCACGTCGGCCACGAGAGTACCCCCAGCCAGGGCTCGCTCCTGGGCTCCTCGCTGCTCGTACAACGCGAATGCGTTGCGGCTCCGGGCCAAGCCCAGCCGCCCCACTAGCTCTCGAGCAACCTGGAAGGGAGTGGCCGTGAGGGAAAAGTTAGACCACGCAGGGTCTCGCCTGTGGTTCCGGAGAGGCTGCCTTAACTGAAGGCGTTTGCAAGTCTATTAACCCGCCGCACACACCCCCTCACCCCAATGATGAAGCTCAGACTCCGGGCAAAACTAGGGGCCCTGCCCCTGGAGAGCCAGGTGTGGGAGCTGGAAGCGGGGATTGAGGGTTCAGGGGTCTTTCTCTGGCCTCACCTCCCCCGCTGTGGTGTGGGAGTCAATGGCCACAGGGCAGGCACCAGCCCCGGGACAGTGCACGGTGCACAACAGCTCCTGCCTTCGACTCAGCGCAGAAATCTCCGCGAGCGACGGCACCAACTCTCGGCCGCGCGTGCGGCCCAGCGCTTTCCGAATGAAGCGCGCATATTCTGCCAGTTCCGAGTCCGGGAGCGCCTGCTCCGTCCTGGGTTGGGCACAAGCTGAGGATCAGTGTTCGCCATTTCATAGTTTCACCTTGTCCACTCCCTCCCTCCAAGTTCAAGAAGGCAGTCTTGGGCTCTTTTAAATCTGCCCCTGGTGTTCTCTATGGAGCTGAAATACCTTCTAAGGCTGCCAGCCGCGCTCTCCTAACTGTCCCCTCCCACTTCCCCAAGTGTCCATGATCCTCCTTCAGCTTCCAGTGGGACCCAGAATGCAACCACATTGACCTTTCCAGCCTAAAAGCCCTGGCACTGAACCGCCATCAGCCCTGAGGAAAAACAGCCTTTTTATACTTCCTGTGCCCAAAGGGGTAGCCTTTTTGTAATTCCTCCCCCCAACCCCCCACAAGTGAGATATGATCTTGTAATTCCCACAAAGGCACTGTACATATTAGCAGCAATGCTGACCTTGGTAAGCTCCCTCCCTCCCCGGGACTAAGCTCTCCTTCTGCCAAGCCCTTTGGAAAGATCTGCCATTCCCTCCCAGCCCTGCAGCTCTCTGGACTTGATCTTACCCCGCCCCCTCCCCTCTCACCTTTCCAGATGCCCCAGGAGATGCCCCCGAACAGCTCCCCCAGGTCGGAAGGTGCAGCTCATGCAGGTGAGGAGTTGCCAATACCGCAAGGCCGCGGGGTCTCTGGTAGCCGGGGGCCCGGGGGGCCCCGCGGGGCCTGAAGTCTGCTTAGCCAGCTGCAGGAAGAGTTCGTCTCGGAGCGCAGGCAGGTCCCGGCAGGTCTGGAGCACACCCTGCATCAGGGGCCCGGGGCGCCGCGCCCCCTCCAGAGCCTGCAGTGCCAGGAACAGCCGCACTGCCTCCTCCCGCAAGGGCGCATAGCCTGGACCTGATGGAGGGCGGGGGTGGAGGGATGGTTTGGAGAGGGGACACAGAGCTGGGCCCTGGGAGGAAGGCATGAACCAGGGGGAGGGTCAGAAGGAGTATAAGGGGACAGGGGGTGGCCAGGAGGGGAGGGTATGAAGGACAGGAAGTGAAGGGAAAGCAATGGCCCCCAGAGATCCAAACTCTCCACCCTGGCTCCTAGGAAGGCACCCCCTACAGAGGCTGGACCATGAATTAGTAAAGTAGAAGACTAGACTAACTAAGGACAGAAGTTCAAGCCCCAGATTCTGTAATTGTGAAGTGAAAGCCATCACCAAGGGCCAAAGACAAACTGGACTGAGTCAGAGAACTAGAGTTCTTTCAGTTCCCCTTTATACTCTAACTTTAGGGTCCAGGCCAGTCACTATCCGCTTTTGGGAAGAAGTATAGCTGGATGAGGCCAGTACATTCTCTCAAAGTAGTAGCTTTTCTACTGCTTGTAGTTATTATGGCGGGGCCTTAAGGGCATAATGAAAGATGGCATGTAAAGACTCCCGAAGGGACATCAGTAGTCAGAATGAGACCCACAGAGAAGGTGGTCAAAGGAGACTTTTCTCCTGTGCTGGCTTCCCTTCCCTCCACCCAGGGTATCGGTCCTGTCAGGCTCAGGTTTCACACGGGACTTTTGCAAAGTGAGGGCTCCTTGGCCCCAGATGATCTACCCCTTCCCACCCAGAGGACTTGGGCCCTGACCCCACTCACCTGGGGCACTGACTCCGTAGGGCAGGGGCAGGAGTGGGGCATACAAGGCTCCACTGGTGTGTCTCAGGATGGGGTTCCGCCGGTAAATGAGGGCTACAGCCTCTGGGTCACCACAGCTCTCCTAGAGGCCAGGGCAAGGGTCAGTGATGGAGAAGGGAGATCCCAGTGAATTTGAAAGATTCTGGGTCCACCACCCTCCTCTTTCTCACTGGAGTCCCCTCTCTCACACCTGAATGTCCCTGAGCAGCAGCTGGGTGGGGGTCTCTAGGGGTGCCTTGGAGGCGATCACTTCACGAAGTGCCACACCCCAGCATTCAGCCTCAGCCTGGCGGGGTGAGCAGAGCCGGATGCTGTGCTTCCGGCCAGACACAGTCACTGACCACAAACCTGGGAGAAAAGGAGGCCGAGGAGGGAATCAGGGCCTGCTGGGGCCACTGCCCAAGAAGGTAGGAAAGTCCCCACGAAGTCTCACCGGTTTCCTTGGGCCTGCGCTCCGGGCCGGTCACTGAGCACAGGCTGGTAAGCACAAGGCTCCCCAGGCGCCGAGCCCCCTTTCCACTGCTACTGAACTGGTCTAGGGAGTCTCGAGTGAGCACAAACCAAGCCCGACGTGGGGGCAACCAGGGCCTCGCCCCTCCTCCTCGAGGCTCACGGTACAACCAACCTGAGGAGAAAAGTGGGAGGGAAGGGGAATCAGCAGAAAAAGACATTATTTCCCAGAGAGTTGGGACTGGAGCCTTTCAGTGTGCATGGGGCGGGGGGGGGGGGGGCACCTTTCACAACGATGTCTGGGTCGTCCTCTGGCAGCCCCCTCTCGGGAATGAGGCTCCTGGTCTCTTCCCAGCTCTGCAACCTGGGCCAGAGGGGAGGGAGAGTTGAACAAGACTGAAAGTCCAGCACTCTGACTCCAGGGGGCTCCTCAGTAGGGCCTCCCCATACTGTGTGGGGTGCCTGATCCCAGGCTGGGCACCCCTCCCCCTGACTGTGGGAACTGCTGGGTTGTTCTGACCTCGCACCAGAAATAGCCTGGACCCCCCCCTTCCTCCCCTCACCCCCAGCCGGACCGCCCCCCGGGACCCTGGCCAAACCACAGTGTCCGGGCAGCGTGAGGCCTCTCCCTTATTGCACAACTAAGTGAGGGAAGACAGCAAGGATGAGGGTCCTGGGACCAGGCCTGGGACATAAGGGCAGAGCTTACCTGTCGGAGACCTGCCCACTCCTCACAGGCTGAGTCAGGGTCACGTCCAGGGTGCCCTGAGGAAACAGGAAGGGCAACCTTTAGGATCAGAGCCCCCCTCCCGGTGGGGTGCCCCTGGCTGCTTTCCCCAGGATGGCTTGAGGAATCCAGGAGTGGGATCGGATCCTGACTGTTGGAGGTAGCTGACTGTTGGAGGTAGCTGAAGTTGCCAACCTACAGAACAGCCCAAGCTACTGAAGAGGCCAAGTCTCCAGCCTTGTCTCCGTTACCTTTTGAAGATGCAATCAGGGGGGTGGGGTGGGGTGAAAAGAGCACTGGCAGGGAGTCAAGAGACCTGGGTTCTAACACGAGCCCAACCACTGCGGTACCCTAGCAAGTCCCCTCCAGGCTTAGGACTTGGCTTCTTCCTCTTCTCTGGCGAGGGCAAAGGTGGATGAAGTCCCTTTTCAGCCCTCCTCCTCATTTCCCCTTCCTAACTGGAAGGCATGAGGGCGGTGGGCACCGTCGGGAATGAAGGGAAAGGGATAGGGCTTCTTCCAAGAGCTTTCAAAGTAGTAGCTTGTGCCCTCCTACAGACGCCAGAGACACAAAGGTAAGCAGAAACCCTTCCCTTCTGTGGGGCTGGGGAAGGGGCGAGCGGGCGAAGCCATGGCATGTACTCCCCAGGGAAGGTGCAGTCCCCTCTTCCTTCCCTCACCCCCACCCCCATGCCCTGCAACTTCAGCTGTAGACTGGGGTGTGACAAAGGTCCCAAACGAGTGTAGGTCAGGCAGGAACTGTGCCACGATCTCCCTGAGCCCAGACTGCTACAGCCAGGAGAAGGTGGGGGAGGGGGGCCAGGGACACCTGTCCTCGAGCTCGGGGTGGAGGGGTGAGGGGTGGAGGTGGGGCTTGAGGAAGGCAATAGTCTGGTTCACAGAGCCGACCCTGCTCGAGCTGGAAGCGTGGGAACGCCCGGGTCCAGTGTTTTGCATCTGTGCAGACCCACCTATTTTCTGGAGGGCCTGGCAGGGCTCTCAGCCACACAGCACAGGGGCAGGTGCTGACCATTCTCTTAAACCAACTCCCCTAATCGCAGTCCCCTGCTTCCCTCCCTCCCCCCCCTCTATATTTATCCACCCTCCGCCTCCGCCAGGTGCTGGCGCCGGCCCCAGCGGCGCAGTCCGCCCCACCCGGGCACCGAGCCACCGGGCCTGCTGGGGACCCCTGAGCGGGGGATGGTAGCCGGCCCCAGGCCCCCGCGCACGGAGTCTGCTCGCGGGCGCGCAGAGGCATCCGAGTGCACGTCAGGGGCGGGGTCTCCCAGCCTCAGTTTCCCCACGGCCAGATTCGACAAAGCCGAAGAGCCAAGTTTCCCTCCACCTCCCCGCTGAGATTCCCCAGGAGCCTCACCGGGGAGGGCCGAGAGCTCTGTCCTGAGGGGCGGGGTAACGATGAGGGGCCCTCGAGGAGCGGTGGCCCCGAGCTCCCTTTCCGTGGGGTCCTCGTCACGGACCCCAATCCGAAGACGCCTTCTCCCCCTCGCCCAGGCCCCTGCGGCGGGCGCTCCCGCATCTGGCTCCCGCGCCCAGCGCGCACCAACTGGGAGCAGAGCGGACCCAGGCGACCGAGCCGCCCAGCCGGCCTCGCCACATTCCTCGGCGCTGGCGGAGGCGGAAGGAGACGGGATGGGACGCGAGCCCGGCGGGGAAGGGAGAGGCAGGGCCAGGTCGGGCCACGCGCGACGCCTCCCCTGCCTCGGGGCCCCCAGCAGGTGGACAGCGCCCAGCGCGCCGCGCGAGGCCCACAGGCACGTCCAGAAGAGAGCAGCTCCGCGAGCAAGCGGGGGCTCCAGCCCCCTGGCAAAAACCTCTCCCTCGTCCCCAGTCTGCCAAGAGCACGTTCGCTCGGAGTCTGGAGCAGGGTCAGGCGTGACGGCCGGTCGGAAAGAGAGAGACTGAGACGAGGCTCCAAACCTCCCGGGACTTACCCTCCCGCCGCCCGCTGGACTCGGGGTCCGTAGCTCAAAGGTCTCCTCGTCCTCGTCCTCGTCCCCGTCCCCGCTAAGCTCGCCGTCCCCGTAGTCCCGGTGCAGAAGAGTGAAGCCTCGACGGCAGCAGAGGAGCCACCACAGTCCCCCGGGGAGAGGCATCCGGGCGAGGAATCGGGGGATGGGGGCGCGGGCAGCCGGGGCCGAGCTGCAGGGGGTCGAAGAAACTGGCCGGGCTCCGACCCGAGCGGGGGAGAGATGAAGTGCGAGGAGGAGGAAGAAGAGGGGGCCCGGGAGGAGGCAGTGTCTGGAGCTGGGGTGCAAGGGGTTGCGAGCTAGAGTGGGGGGGTCAGTCTCTGGGCCCCCGGAGGGGGAGGGGGAAGCGTCCAGGGCCCGGGGCGGGTGTGGGGGGAGGAGGGAGCAATGTCCGGAGCTGAGAAGTAATGTCCGTTGTGGTGTCCAGCCCTGTGGGGGGCAGTGTCCGGTGCAGTGTCCGAGGTGGGCAGCTGTCCAAGCTCCGGGGAGGGCTGTGTCCGGTAGGGCGTCCGGTGGCCGGGGCCCGGGCTGCGCGTGCTGCGCTCCCTGCAGCCCCGGGACTGGCGCGCTAGGAGCACAGCGCCCGGACCCCGCCTCCCCAACCCCCTGCCTGCCGGGCGGGCCCCCCGCCCCTCTTCTTCTCTCCTCCCTTCTTGACAGGGCAGGGTCCAGTTTTCGTCACAGCCTCCCCGGCCCAATCCCTGTGCCTGGCGCCGGGCGCGGCCACCAATCAACGCACTGAAACCACGGCGGGTTGCATCATGTGCCCCTGGCTGGGTGACAGCGGGGAGGGGCGGGGGCCTGGAGCGGGAGGGGCCTGTCCGGGGCTGACCACGCCCCAATCTGTGAGGTCAGACGCGGAGTGCCAGTGACGTCACGGAAGCCCGCCTTCGCGCTCTCGGTTTAACTCTTGGCTCCCCGGCAGATGCGCGACCCTCCGGAGGAGACGCTTTGGAGAACGAAGGGGTTAGGGCCTCGAGGGGGCCCCCGACTGCTGCCCGCAGCACCCCGTGTCGCCTCAGGGCCTCTGAGCAAGAGAGAGCCTCGGCTGGCGAGCGCCCCCGGCCGGCGCGGGCCCCCCCAGAGGTGGTCCTGGACGCAGGCGGCTAGTTCCTGGGCCTGAGTCACCTCGTTTTTGAAGCGCAGAGGCTGAGGCTGGGGCCCCGGGAAGGCGAAGACCTGGGGCGGAGATAGTGTCGTTTAGGGTCCGCCGCTCACTGAATTCCAGGGCGGCTGGGGGTTCTCGGGGGTTCTCGACTGGCGTGGAGGCCCCCCGAGCACGGTCCCGCGAGCCCGCGCAGGAAGGAGTTAACCCGGCGCGGCGCCGACGGGGCGGGGCCTCGCGGGGCGGGGCGGGGCGGGGCGGGGCCGCGGGCGCGCGCGTGCGTTGCTGACTCAGCGCCTCTCGCCGCGGGCTCCGGCGGGGGTTCTCGGGCGGCCCCAGCGGCTGGCGTGCGGGACCCTTTGGGGATCGGCGCCCTCTCTGGGCTCCGTCTGGCCCCTGGCCCCTGGAGGCCGTGGCTTTAGCTCTCAGCCCCCGGAGGCTCCGGGAGAGAAGCCAGCTCTAGCTGGGCGGGGCAGGCCGGGCGGGGCGGGGACCCCAGGCCAGCGCCTCCCCCCGAGACCTCCCTGCCACGCCCCGCCCTGCTCGCTGCCGGTCTCCAGACTCCTGGCTGGAGCGGTCGGGGCGGCTTTGCTGACCGGATATTAAACTGCGAGAATTGTCGCACGTGAACACTGTCCTGTCTGTCTTGATTGAGTAAAACAAAGGCCAGGAGTCAGTGCAACTGTCTGCAGAGGCCTCCCCGGCCTTGTTCTCGCCCCAGAGGAAAGAGGTTTCCTAGGGAAGAAAACACCGCAACCACATACTCTTTCCCCCAGCCCCTCGCCTGCAGGGAAGTTCTTTGCGATGTCTACCTCTCTCCGGAACGCTCAGGGCATTTCCTGTGATCTGGTCCCCAGAGAAGCTGGAGAGCGAGTCACCCCACCCCCAGCACGCCCATGATAGGGACTCTTGTAAATTTGCAAACTGGAATTCTCTTCTTGGTTTTTCGCCAAGGTAAAAAAAAAAAAAACTCCAGCTCAAACTTTTTAAATTATTTTTTCCCTTTCCACCAAAGAAACTTAGAAGGAATTGTAAAGTGGTAATCTAATCCAAAACCCACCCAAAAGGGGAATCTTCTGATCCCCATCCCTACCCCCACACCACACACAGTTCCGACAGCCCGAGCCTGAACATTCCAGAGGCCGCTACCCCTACCCGGTGCAAGCTAAGGCAGCCATTACTGGAGAGCGCTCTGGTTGTTAGAAAGCTCTTCCTGACACTAACAGGAGAGGAACCCCCGCCCTCCTGTCTGGCAGCTTTCCCACCTCACCCCTGTTGGCAGAAACTGGAAGAAGGTGGTGGGGGTGTCAGCGCCTAGAGCTTTTGTATTCTCAGCAACCCCCACCCAGGCAGAGAGCCTTCCACCCAGGCCAGAGCGTTGTGTGTCTGTGTGCGCTTGCGGGGGGTAGGGGGGGGTAGGGAGGCGGTGACCCACCCGCTCTGCCCTGCCACAAATCACTTCCAAGTCGCCGAGCCAAAAATAGTAACAGTTGTTGGGTTGCACCTCATTTCCATCTTATCAACTTAATGTGACAAGGTACAGAAGCAATTCATTTAGGTCCCTGCCACTTTCTCAGTGTTCCCCCAGCCAATTCCACTCAGCCCACTCCCTCTCCACTCCCTCTCGATTCGCAGTCCTAGCCGTCCCCGGAGGAGACACTGCGGGTCCCCGTGGGAGCCAAGAGGAAAGACAGGCGGGGCCGGCGCGGGCAGCGGCCGCGGGAGCGAGGCCCTGGGCTGCAGCCCCCACCCCGTAGCAGCCGCCGCAGGTTCTGGCGGAAGCGCAGGCTCAAAAAGGCGTAGAGCACGGGATTGAGGCCGCAGCGGGCGAGGGCCAGGCCTCCGGTGATCAGCAGTGCCAGATCCTTGCGCTTGCTGGCGGGGCAGCTCTGCTCGCGGGCGGCCAGGAGGTCGGCGGTATCCAATAGCAGGACGAGGCTGTAGGGCAGCTGCAGCACCACGAAAGCTGCCACTAAGGCCACCACAACGCGCAGCGCGCGCCGGCGCTCTGGCCCCCTGGCGGCCAGCAGCGTGCGGCCCAGGAGCGCGTAGCAGGCCACCATGACGCCCAGCGGCAGCACGAAGCCCAGGCCAACGTGCGCCACGGCGCTCGCCCCCTTCATCGTCTGCGCGAGGGCCTCGGGGAAGATGAGACGGCAGCGCCGCTGGCCTTCTCGCTGCCCATCCTGGCTGAAAAGGAGAGCAGGCAGCGCCAAGACTAGCGACAGCAGCCACACCATGACTGAGACCCGGCGTGCGCAAATGGACCAGGAGCGCTTTGGCGGAGCTGGGAGGGCCTTTTTGATGGCAACATAGCGGTCAGCGCTGATACAGGCCAGGAAGAGGAAGCCGGCATGGAAGGAGGCGGAGTAGAGGCCCGAGATGACCCGGCAGGTGACACTTCCCAGGCTCCAGCCTTGCAGAGCCCCGGCTGCTGCAAAGGGCAAGGTCAGGGCCAACAGAAGGTCGGCCAGGGCCAGTTGGAGCAGGTGGGCCGATGTGGGTGAGCGGGTAGCCCTTTGGGCTGCCAGGTGGGTGGCAAGGACAAGGCCATTGCCGGCCAGACCCAGCACTGCCACCATCAGGGTGACACTGGGTTGGAAGGCCTTACTGAAGGCCTGGATATCCGCCTTGTAACAGAGTTCTGGCAGTGGCCCAAGCGAGTATGCCTCCTCCTCTTCCCCAGAGTAGGGCCCCAAGGAGACCTGGGGAGGTCAAAATGAGAGGAAAGGCCTTAGGAGAGATCTTCCTCACACTTCTCCCTTCCACACATGCCTTCCAAGCTGGCACCCATTGTGTGACCAGATACAACAGTCAGGGAGACACAAACTCTTCTCCAAACTCTTACAATACCCCCCACAGACCTGGGCTTCCTGGCACCCCTCATGCCTCTGCATCCTGCTTCCTGGGTGACCTTGAGCAAACCACTTGCTCTTTCTGGACCTCAGCTGCCTAATTTGTAACAGGCAGAAATTAGAAAATCTGACCGACCCACCTGGCAGGGTTATTTGAAATAAGGTCTGTTAGAAATAAGAAAGATAATAGTTGTGAAGCATCTGTGCTCTCCATGGGCCAAGCATGGGTATTAATACATACATCTCGGACAGTCAGTTTCTTTCCAGCATTTTGTCCTCACCCACGGGTCTATTTCTACCTCAGACCTGGTCTGGAACTCCATGCTTGGTTTGGAGGTTTCTGTTCCCTTTCCTTTCTTCCCTTCTCACTCCGCCAATTATCGCCAGTACAGATGCACTGAACCCCTCACGACAAGGGGGCCTGAAAGATTGGGGCTCAGGTTTTCTAGACTGGGTTGGGATCTTGGATCCTTTGGTGTAGTCTGTGCTCCCCCTCAGCCCCAGAGTCCTGTTCCCCAACCTCACTTCACCCGCCCCATCTATCTGTATGACCCTGGCCCCAGGTGGCTCAGGGCATCCTGGATAGGTCACAGGACAGCAGAGGTCTGTTGCCAGGTGGGGAGCCCCCTTCCCTCATCTTACCTTCCCTCTCAGTGTCCCTCCCCCACTCCCCATCCCCAGCTCCCACCTGCTCTGTGGCCTCTGCCTCCATCGCTGGTTTCTCTGGCTTTTGAGGCTTAGCCACTGAGGGAAAGGCTTAACCATTGGGACAGGAAGGAAGGGGCGGAGAGAGGTGGGGACGCGGTCTCTGGGCCCTCATCTCTGGGCCCTCCTCTGAATGACCTTCCCACCCCTCAGAGGCTTCCCCCCAAGAATTTCTTTCTGCTCTGCCAGTAAAAAAGAATGGGCTGGGCCTCCTGGTGGCCAGCAGTTGAGCGCTGGGTTGCAAAGCTGCCCCGCAGCCCCTGCAGCGCCGGTTCGATCCCCGGCTGCTCCCCGGCCACCGGGGGAGGGTCCCACATGGCGAGCAGACCCCTCCTGCCGACCGCTGCTCCCCTCAGCAGTGTACTTCGGTCCTTCTGCCTGCTCTGCTCCCCGCTCTGGCTCTGGTGAATTCTCTCACCCTGCCGCGCTTCTGACTGTACCCAGTGCATGTATAAATAAATAAAAAATAAATCTTAAAAAAAAAAAAAGAATGGGCTTTGGAAAATCATTTGCTATCTCTCTGTATGATCTTAAGTAGTTTCCTCGACCTCTCTGAGCCTCAGGTTTTTCATCTGCAAAGTGGAGGAGTAAAGTACCAAGGTTGAATTCACAGGGTTATGAGGGTGCCTGGCACGGATGTCTGGAGCATTATTTGCCTCAGAAAATACCATGTTCTTTTATTTACTCTTCTTCCCATCTCCAGGCCTCTCCCCTCCCTCCTCCCTTCTCTTGAAATTCTCACAGCCCTCCAGGGCAGCACCAGGTTCCCTTCCTCCACCCCAGCGGCCCCAGTCCCGGGCAGCCGCGGGTTATTCGGGGTATTTCCCGGTGGCTGGAGCGCGTCTACCCCCGCCCTTTGCAGCAGGGCTGAGGCGCGCGCTTGCGCGGGGTCCGGGAAAGCGGCGCGCGGCAGGAGAGAGAGGCTGGGGTAGGGAGAGGTGAGAGGAGAGAAGGTGGGAAGGAGAGGAGAAGGAGCCGCGGAGAGCCGGGAGCGACAGAGGGCAGGGAGGGGGGGGCAGGGAGGGAGAGGTGGAGAAGGAGCGTGGCAGCGATCCGCTGCGAGCCCCCGGAGGGGAGCCGGGAGCCGGAGCTGGAACTGGAGCCCCAGCCCGAGCCGGCACTGGGAGGCGGCGGCCGGGACCGGCAGCCCTGCAAGATGCGTCTCCGGCTCTTCTGCATCCTGCTGGCCGCAGTCTCGGGAGCCAGGGGCTGGGGCTACTGTGAGTACCGGGCTCCGAGGCAGGCAGTGTTCGGTCCCGGAGTCCAAAGCCTGCAGGGCGGGTCCCGCACCGCATTGCGGCTGGGTGGTCGCGGGTCCTTGCAGGGCCGGCGCGCGCCCGCATGTCCCCATCCTTTCTGCCTCTCCCCCGCGCTCCGCAATGCAGCTCCGAGGCTGGCGCGCGCGCCCGGGCTGGGGCTGGTTCTGGGCTCCCAGCGGAGGATGGAGTCAGTCGGGCGGGGTTCGGGATTGGGACCCAAATGGGCGCTGTGGTCGGGTTTGAGGGCTGGGGACAAGGATGGACCTGGTGACCCTGCTAAGGTTAGGGCTTTGCCAGGGGCCGGGGCTGGACTTTGGAGCTGAACCAGCAGCTTTTTCTGGCTGGGGATCCAAGGCAGCGTTGGTGATCCTGGTGATGCTAAGGTTGGATGGACAGGAAGGTGGTGATGGTGCCTAGACTGGCTGAGGCTGGGACCTAGGCCTGAATTTGGGGTTGGTGCAGGTTTGGGGGTGCCGATAAGTGGAATCTATGCTAAGGCTGGGCTGGGCTGGACTGGTGTGTCAGGCTAACTCAGGTTCTGAAAGATGTTGATGTTCAGGACCGTGTTTGGGGAAGTACTGAACTTGCACTGGTACAGAGCTAGGAACAGTCTGGCCTAGGGGTTCCCCCAGAGGGAGAAGGCAGTCTGTCCTGTGGAGGTTGGGTAGATGGCTTTCTGGTAGGGTTGGGTCTGCCACTAGGGAGCCAAGAAAGGGAAAGCTCCAACTGCTCCAAGGACCAGGCCCTAGTCAGACCTGGGAGGGGCACCCTGGCCAACTGTCCTGTCCTCCAACCCAGACGGTTGTGACGAAGAGCTGGTTGGACCCCTGTACTATCGCTCCTTGGGTGCCTCCTCCTACTATGGGCTCTTCACTGCACCCCGCTTTGCCCGGCTGCATGGTGAGTGAAGCTTCACCCTAAATGGGTGGGGACTCTCCAGGGCTGGGGTGAAGGGGGACTCAGTGATGAAACCCTTTCCCCTGCTATAGGCATAAGTGGATGGTCTCCCCGGATTGGGGACCCGAATCCCTGGCTGCAGATAGACTTAATGAAGAAACACCGGATCCGGGCTGTGGCCACGCAGGGCTCCTTTAACTCATGGGACTGGGTCACACGTTACATGCTCCTCTATGGCGACCGTGTGGACAGCTGGACACCATTCTACCAGCGTGGGCACAACTCGGTACTCCAGACTCCAGTGCAGACACTTAGGGAGGCTTCTCAGCTCTGGGACCTGGGCTGGGCACTACCTTGGCGGGCGGGGGAAGGGACGAAGGCATTGGTGAGGGCACAGATGAGGAACAGTGGACTCCGCTCCAGGGCCTCGATCCAGAGGAACTGTCAGTTCATCATGTCTGCAAGACACTCCTGGAAAAAAGGGTTTAACATACTTTAGGGTAAAATCTGGGAGAGCTTCTTGAAGGAGGTGACATCTGAGTTGAGTTTTGAGGAAATAATAGGGTGGTGTGGGGAGGGGATACTGTGGATGAGGGAAACTGCTAAAAGCTTTGAAAACAGGGGACTATCAAGCAGTGTTTGCTTTCCTGAAGTCGAAATTGACTGGTGTGACAACTGGGGCTTGGGAGGCTGTGGAAAAAGCAAACAGAGAGGAGCGTAGGGACGTGGTCACGCGCTCCCCTTCTCCCTCAGACCTTCTTCGGTAACGTGAACGAGTCCGCGGTCGTGCGCCACGACCTGCACTACCATTTCACCGCGCGCTACATCCGCATCGTGCCCTTGGCTTGGAACCCGCGCGGCAAGATCGGCCTGAGGCTCGGCCTCTACGGCTGCCCTTACCGTAAGGGTGCGGAGGTCGTGGCGGGGGCCGGGACACTCTCTCCCGCGGCCCCGGCCCACCCACGGTCCTCTGCGCAGAGTCTGACGTGCTGTATTTCGACGGCGACGATGCCATCTCATACCGCTTCCCGCGAGGGGTCAGCCGGAGCCTGTGGGACGTGTTCGCCTTCAGCTTCAAGACGGAGGAGAAAGACGGGCTCCTGCTGCACGCCGAGGGCGCCCAGGGCGACTACGTGACCCTTGAGCTGCAGGGGGCGCACTTGCTGCTGCACATGAGCCTGGGTGAGCTCAGCTTCCCGCCAGCGACCCTGGAGGCTTTTTTGCCAGGGCCACTCCTGACCATCACCTTCCTGTTTGGACCACCCCCGCCTTTTTCATGTAGTATTTGCTGCCAGCAAAACGCTAGACTCAGCGTCAGGAGAGCTGGATTCCAGTCTGGGCTCTACCCCTGACCAGGGCTGTGGTCTTGGATAAGGCTCTTCCCCTGTTTCCTCACTGTAATAATATTATATATATATATATATATATATATATACACACACACACACACACACACACACACACACACACATATGTGTGTGTACAATATGTACCCACAAAAAGTTTTGTAGTATTTTGGATCTCATTTACTTTTCATAGCACCCCCATGATGAGACAGCAGTGATAGTGCCCCATGCTCACATACTCATTCCCAGGCTCTGGCTGCTCTGCTTCTACAAGCCGACCTCCCTGCTCCCTGGCTGCTCGCCCACCCACCCATCCCCTGCAGTCTGTCTTCTGTGCTGCTGCTACACTTTTGGGCGAGGGCTCTCTGGGTTTCTCCAGGTGTGAGGGCTGACCCTGCCCCACCTGCTCCGCAGGCAGCAGCCCCATCCAGCCCAGGCCTGGCCACACCACAGTGAGCGCCGGGGGCGTGCTCAATGACCAGCACTGGCACTACGTTCGTGTGGACCGATATGGCCGGGATGCAAACTTCACCCTGGATGGCTACGTACAGCGTTTTGTGCTCAACGGCGACTTTGAGAGACTGAACCTGGACAATGAGGTGAGCAGAGAGGCAAGGTGTCATTTGGTCAGATGGGGTTCTCAGTGGGGCGCTGCAGGGTGGAAGGTCAATGCTTCTCTCCACTAGAGGTAAGAGCCTGCCTTCCAATTCCTGAATATCCTAGTAGCTCTCAGCAAACTCTCTGCACACCAGAAAGAGCTGGGGTTGTCTTGTTGTTGCTGTTAAGGTGCAGATTCCCTGGGGCCACCCCCAGACCTACTGAGATGGGGGTTGGAAATGTTGGTTTGGAGAGTGGGCAAGAGGAAGTTGCCCTCGTGGATTGCCCAACTCTGTGGAGTTGGTAAGACCCTGGCTGCAGGTAAAGAACCCCAGATAGGTTCCCTGACTTGCCTCAGGGCGTGCAGCCAATGTATGGTGGAGTGGGGCTGGAATCCAAGCCTCAGGAAGCCCAGCGAGCTTCCAACTTTGGTTAGGATACTGGGGAGATGCGTGCGTGGCGACTTTGACAAAGTCCGGCCTGTAGTATGGGGAGGGGTACAGGGGGAGCGCCAGCCAGCACCCTCACTCTCCCCCCCCGCCGCAGATATTCATCGGGGGCCTGGTGGGCGCCGCGCAGAAGAACCTGGGCTATCGGCACAATTTCCGCGGCTGCATCGAGAACGTCATCTTCAACCGGGTCAACATCGCGGAGCTGGCCGTGCGGCGCCATTCGCGCATCACCTTCGAGGTCAGTGGGGAGGTTCTGGGGGGACTCGGCGTCAGAGCCGCTGGAAAGCCGTGAGACACAGCGGGAGGAATCTTTTTTTTTTTTTTTTAAGATTCATTTATTTATGCATACCAGAGCTGGGGTACAGGCCAGAGATGCAGGGTGTGAGAGGATTCACCAGAGACAGAGTGGGGAGCAGAACAGGCGGATTACACTGCTGAGGGGAGCAGCAGGCGAGACAG